TCCTTCCTTCCTTCCTTCCTTCCTTCCTTCCTTCCTTCCTTCCTTCCCCCTCCCTCCCTCCTTCTCTCCCTCCCATTCAAGGTTGGTTGGAAAACAATCCAATAGGAATAACGTCTTCATGAAGGGGAGTTTGTGGATCTAGTTTAACCTTTTCAGACAACCAACAATGGTCAGTACTGATTATGCCTAGGAAGAAGAGGAAGTTTGCCTATATAGATCCAGTAAGGCATAAGACTCATCTCATATACATACACTTATCAGGTTGCAGTAAGGATCCAGTATTTTTCCTGGCTCATTGTTTCTAAAAGATTCTGAAATCTTATTCAGTGTCTACAACTAGTTTCTATCCATTTACTTTGAACTGGGGCAGGTGTTTCTTGGAACAAAAGATTTATTGGCTGTTGATATGTGGGTTCTCTCTCCTTTATGGTTAAATATAACCTGTAAGTTAAAAGGATATAGGTGTGGTGCTTTACACCAGTGGTTCTTAACCTGGGCGATATTGCCCCCCAAGGCGGTGATTTCGTTTTTCAGCTGGGCGATGGAATGAAAAGGGGCGACACGGGGGCGAAGGAAGGGAAGGGGGGTGATATGGGGGCGATGGAGTGAGAAGTTTTGGGGACACTTTTGAGACTTTTTTCGTACAGTGAACCGCTTATATCTGTCATACAAAAACATCCGATCACTCGCTATTAGTGGATTGAACTGTATTTTAAAATGTTCCTCCAGCTAGCTTCTGTACAGAATGCCGTACATATGTGAATACGCATCACTCATCTTCATGCGCGTTGCGCAGCAGCCTCTATCACTCTACCCATTAAATTTGTCGCTCTGATTTTTGTTGCTTTCCTTCTGTAAAAATTTTCTTTGTGTCTTTTTAACCCTTTTTACAGTGTGCATGAATATATATTTTCCTCGAATCTGAATTTAGTTTCAGAGTTTTTGTCTTGAAATTCTTAGTTCCTGCATTGTGGTTCTTATGCCCTTTTTATATTTCTTTTTGCGTCTTAAAATTCACTTGTAATTAAATCATTAAATGTTACTGTTTGGGGGGTGGGGTGGCATTTCATTTTCTTGCAGTTGAATTTTGTTTTCAGTGGTCATTACATTTAAGTGTCTTGAATAAATAAGATAATAATGAAACACACGTATCACGAAGTTTGGGAGTAAAGTGATGGGTGGCATCAGAATTTTTCACACAGTTGAGATATGGGAAAAAGACTGGAAATAAATTATTTGCATCGATATGTCCTGGTGACAATTTTAAAGAGAACAAAAAATGTGTTTGCATAAATTGAAGAATTATTTCCCTGTGTTGTGATTGAGAGGTTATGTTGCGGGAGGGGCGCGATGATCACTTCCTCAATGGCTCAAGGGGGCAATCCTTTCAAAAAGATTAAGAACCACTGCTTTACACCATTGATACTTTCAGATTCCTTGTCAAATTTTCTCCAGTTTAGAGAAAACACTTATATGGAGAAGAATCAAAATGCCTATAAAATGGTTAAATAAATTTGTAAAAATAATGTTCATTAAAATGCAGTGTATAATATAATGAAACTGGACATCTACAATTTTTAGCAACCAATAAAAATGCATACTCAAGTTAATGGCCTGGTTTGCACATTGCATGAGGCCATAATGTAGTACATTTTAGGTTTCATTTTCAATAAAGTATGCCTGAAATAAACCAGGTCATAGCATAATATATGAACCTAGCCGATATACCAGTAATAATTAAACACACACTGCTACACACCTTGTCCTTGCATCCCAAAGCGGATTTATTCTGGTAGGTTACATTGAAAAATAAATGTTTTCCCGTTTCATTCTTTAGCTTAGTTTTTTACAGTACTGTTTCAGAAATACCTCAGTTTTTTAATTTGGCACATCCAGTAGTTTTAGATAAGCATGAGGTATTTGTATGTATGTCCTCAGAAGTACTTCTTTACATAATGAACATCTGGTACAAAAATAAAAGGGCTAAATTTGGATTAGGATAATTAGGGACAAAGTTGTGGAAAATGGGATCTCTTCTATCACTCCTGCTCTGACATGTGCCAAAAGAGGGAAGATATTGCTCTGAATTGTACCATTTTTCTGCCAGACATGGAAAATTATAAATGAACCAACTTGTCTACCTTTATGTTTTACTCTAATCTGTAGTCATAGTACATTCAAGAAATTACACATGACAGATTATCTGTTTGAAACAATAAACAGTTTTGTCAAAAAAAAGCTGAGTTATGGCTGGTTCAGAACTATATTGTATCTGTTTCTACTTGGTTTTTCCTTTGTAAAATAGTCTTTCAAAGCCTTATAGCACTTATTCAAGCCAGCTAGTTGTTCTTGTCTTTTTCCTTGCAAAATAATAGGTGTGAAAAGATCTGAAATCCTAGTGCAAACTTTCAGTATTTTTTAAAAGGCAGGTTTTGATCTATGAGAGATGCCCAAAGAATGCAGTGCTCAATAGCTGTGATCAGAACAGACATAGTTTGAAATTACAGTTGTCTGAATATGTTCTTTCCCTTTTTTCCCCCTCATGTAATATGTATTCTTAGCTTCCATGATTACTGTGTACTTTTGTTCATTTAAAATATTTTTCTTTACATATAGGTTGGTCTGTGGAATGCTGTATCCTGCTTATTATTCCTACAAAGCTGTAAAAACAAAAAATGTCAAGGAATATGTGAGTACTTAATTTCAATATTTTTTTCAATATTAGTTTTTATTCAAGTTTTGAGAATGTATACAAGTTTCAACAATAATAAGGCTTTTAATTTTAATTTGTCAAGAGAAGTTAATCATGGTAATATATGATATACTGAAATCATATTTCATGTTTAAGTGAGGTGTTGATATTGCACGACTTAATTTTTAAATGATAAATTGAGAAATAATGCAAGGAACGAGAGCTTTCCAAATGCAGCTCCTCTTTGCTACCTTCCTATTCTTTCTGAGGCATATTTTCTCCTTGCCACTTTTACAGTGATTAAATGATATGGCTGGATTGGAGAGACTAGGTAGGATGGCAACTCTTGCAGGAGTGCAGGGAAGGAGAGAAAGCATAGGCTGCACATAAAATTCTTCCTTAATGTGGAAGTTTGCCAGTTGCTTCTTCATGGACGTGTTTGTAGAGGGAATCATCCAAAAAGCATACAAAATACTTTGTCCAAAGTTTTAAAAAGTGGTTCCAAATCACAAAGAAGCATATACTCAAGAAATTTATGAAAAATATAGGCATATGAAAAAGTCATGATAGGAATAACCTATGCATGAGAATGTGAATATTATACAAAGGAAAATACGACCTTCACTTAGTACAAAAAGGAATAGAGTGAGTTCATATATTTTGGTAAGCCATGGGTTACTTAAGTAATCAACTGAATCCTAATATTAATTGAACATAATAAATTGGCAATGATGTAATTACTTTTTATGTTTTCCATATTTTAATTAAAGGTGCTTAGCATGCTTTGTTTATATAGACTCTGTGTCACGCCCCTGGTGGAGTCTGACTCTGAGGAAGAGGAGGAACAGCCAACAGGGAGTGGGAGTGTGGCTCCAGAGGTGGTAGAGGAGGCTGGGGAAGGGCAGAGGCCATTGGCTGCATCGGTACTTTTTGTGAAAAAGAAATTGGGGGAGTTACGTTTGTGTTGTGATTACTGTAAGTTGAATGCAATCACAGTGAGGAATCAGTAGCGCTTCCCCTCATCCCTGAACTGATTGAGCGGCTTCGTCAAGCTAAGATCTTTACGAAGTTGGATTTGCTGGAGCCTACAATCTGGTTCGTATTCGTGCAGGGGACCAGTGGAAAACAGCTTTCCAGACGAGGTATGGGCATTTTGAGTATACCGTGATGCCTTTTGGATTAACCAATGCCCCAGCTATGTTCATACATTTCATGCACGATGTTTTCTGTGATTTGTTGGATCAATTTGTGGTCATTTATTTAGATGACATTTTGATTTACTCAGACTTCCTGCAGGAACATTGGCAGCATGTGCGGCTAGTGTTCCAATGTTTCCGTGATAACCACCTGTTTGCTAAACGTGAGAAGTGTCAGTTTGCACAAACCACAATTGACTTCTTGGGACATTGTATTTCACCTGCTGGGGTGGAAATGGACCTGGAAAAAATTCAATCGTTGCAGGAGGGGGAACCTCCATAGTGGGTTAAGGATGTGCAATGACTGTTGGGGTTTGCGAACTACTACCGCACATTTATTCCCTGCTTTGCTGCCTTGACTGCTCCCCTTTCTAATCTGCTCAAGAAGGGGGAGACGTTCCATTGGGGTGCTGAGGAGCAGGCAGCTTTCAAGGCGTTGAAAGTCGCCTTTGCTTCTGAGCCTATCCTCAAACACCCTAATCCAGGCCAGCCATTTGTGGTGGAAACAGATGCTTCCAATGTGGCTGTTGGTGCAGTGCTCCTCCTGCAGGCACCTTGTTCTTGTGCGCTTATTATTCCCAGAAGTTCTCGGCTCCAGGGCACAACTATACAATTTGGGACAAGGAGCTATTGGTGGTTAAGGTCACTTTTGAGACATGGTGGCACCACCTGGAGGGGGCTCGTCACCAAATCGAGGTTTGGACGAATCATCGCAATTTGGAACACCTACGTACAGCTCGGACATTGAACTAGCGTCAGGTGAGATGGTCCTTATTCTTTGCTCAATTTGATTTCCGAGTGACCTATGTTCCAAGTGGAGGGAATCAACGCGCCGACACCCTATCTCGGAAGCCTGAGTATACCTGAAGGGAGGATAAAATCTTGCCCCAGACAGTGATTCTATCGGAGAGGTTTGCGGCCATCGAGGAACCTGTGGACCTTCGAATGAGGATTCAGGAGGTGCAGCGGCAGGACCCATTTGTGACAGCTCAACATCGAGAATTGGATGAGAATGGGAGACAAGAGACTCCTTGGGCGTATATTGGGGACCTGTTGCGGTTCCGTGATCGTATTTATGTGCCTGGAGGTCCTCTTCGTGGCCTTATCCTACGTCAATGTCACGATAGTCCGGCAGCAGGACACTTTGGGGTGTTCAAAACACTGTACCTCATCTCTAGGACATTTTGGTGGCCGAGACTTAAACATGATGTGTCGGGATATGTGGCATCCTGTGGGATCTGTCGCCAAGCCAGGTATGCTCCTGGTGCGCCCCTTGGTCTCTTGCAGCCCTTGCCCATGCCAGAATGACCGTGGGGGGCAGTTTCATTGGATTCCATTGTTGAGTTTCCCCCATCGAATGGTGCCTCAACCATTTTGGTGGTAGTGGATATGTTTACTAAAATGGCCCACTTTATGCCGTGTGCAGGTCTTCCATTGGCCAAGATAATGGCTCAATTGTTTATCTCCCATGTTTTCCGGTTGCATGGGTTACCAGACCGCATGGTATCAGATCAGGGGGTACAATTAACAGCACACTTCTGGCAGACCCTACTTTCAAAACTGCAGGTTCAGGTGTGTCTGTCTGCTCATCACCCCGAAACTGATGGGGACACAGAGAGGGTGAATGCTATTTTGGAGCAGTACGGCCACTGTTTCAGCAATACTCAACAAGACCATTGGCTGGAGGTGCTGCCGGTGGCAGAGTTCGCTTATAACAATGCTCAACATGCACCCGTGTGTCCCCGTTTTTTTGCTAACTATGGGTTTCATTCACAACTTTTCCCTTTAGCCCCATCTGATTCCCCAGTTCCGGCAGTGGATACGTTTTTGCAGGAGTTAAAAGCTGTGCACCACATGGTCTGCGATCAACTAGAGAGAGCCAAGGAAGACTATAAATGGTTTGCAGACCGACATTGTCGCGATGTTCCACCTTTAGCGGTCGGCGATCGGGTTTGGCTCTCTACTCGATATTTACCAACGACCCGACCATAAAAAGAGCTCGATCACTATTACTTGGGACCTTTTCCGGTCAAGGCGGTGATCAATCCTGTGGCTTATCGTCTCTCCCTGCCATGGACCATGTGTATCCATCCTGTTTTTCATCGTTCCCTGTTAGTCCCTGCCTTGCCCGAAAGTCCGCATAGACCGGCTCCATCACAGCCAGCCCCAGTAGCCCCTCTGGGAGAGGAGGAATACGAAGTGGATAGCATCCAAGATTCATGCCAGTTGCGGGGCCGATTTCTGTATTTGGTGGCATGGAAAGGTTATGGAGCAGAGGACTTCACCTGGGTCGATGCCACTGATGTTCATGCTTCTCATTTGGTCCAGGACTTTCATGCTCGGCTTCCTCAACGTCCTTGTCCTCCTGGTCCCGGGGGAGGGGGCCCTGCGGGGGGGGGATAGTGTCGTGCCCCTGGTGGAGTCTGACTCTGAGGAAGTGGAGGAACAGCCAACAGGGAGTGGAGTGTGGCTCCAGAGGTGGTGGTGGAGGCTGGGGAAGGGAGAGGGCAGTTAGAGGAGGATCCAGGCCCATCCCCTATCCATCCTAGGTCACGCAGGGAGGAGAGGATCAGGGAAAAGCGAGGTCTACTCAAGAGGAGATTACCATGATCTTCCTTGTGGCTTGCAGGTGGGAGCTATGTATATAAGTTTGCAACTGTGCAGTTAGAATTGCTGAAGTCAATTAGTGTTCACCTTGGAAGAGGCTTATCTTTGCTGGCGTTCTTCCCATGGACTTTTCTTGGCTATTTTCCTGGAATTTATAATTAATTATCTCGGCTTGCTTCAGAGCTCTCATCAATGCGTTTTGTTTTAGTTTTCTGTTTGCTTCGTTATTTACTTTTGTGACTTTAAACTGTGCCTAATAAAACAGTGAAGTTAAGTTGAAGGCTTTACCGGACTTTAATATATGTTTTGGGTTTTGGGTTATTTTGAGAGACTATGGGTCATCACACTCTGATAATCAAATAATAAATTAGTTTTTTTTCTCTGGCTGTATGGGAAGTGTCTCGGGGTATTGTTAGAAACTGTAAAAGTATTAAGACTGTTTTATAGAAATTCAGGTACTTCAGAGGTAATGATACTTCTGATGTGTATGCTACTCTTTGACATATTAATCAATTAAGCTTGCTTCGGAATGTAGCTGTCTCACTCTAGCCACAAATCTTTCAAGGAGAAAGGAATTTTTTTTACTTTTCAGCTTTGTGAGTAATGAAGCTAGGGTTGCTATCTGCATTTGGGAAGAGCAGCTGCAGCCAGGCAGAAATGCTTTCTACCACCACTTCCCCAAGAATAGAATTAGCTCATCTCTCAAAGGGCCCCCGAAATTTGAGATGAGTGGGCTTATTTATTCCACAATCACAGATTATTCTTAAACATAGACACTGGTGTTCTAGGTGTCTGGCTAATTGAACCACACCCTGACATTTTTTAGAAAGTGCTGATGTCCATAAGCAGCCTCACCAGGCCCTTAGCCTACACAAGTGTGGGTGTGAAGGAGAAAAAGAGGAAGACAACAAACAGGTTAGGAAGTGAGAAGTGATACACAATTAATACAGATAAGCAAAATCAGTCATCTGTCAGGACCACAAGTTGTGGTAAGCAGCCCTTGACCATCAAGACTTATTCATGTGGCCACATCAACTTGCAAAGCTCAGGAGGGTGGAATTAACTCAGGGCAATAGAAAAGGTGTGTGTTAAAATTACGTATTTTGTACAGTTACAGTGTCTTCTTCACTGTGGTATGTCCAGTCGGGGAAAACAACCCTCACAAGCATCCAGAGTCCCATTCATTCACCAAGT